AATACAGGATCTTAAAATAGGCTCTGAATGAAGCAAATCAAGCACATTCACGAAGTACAAGCTTTGACGAGGTGAGCAACTTAGTGTCAAACTAGAGAATAATAAGTGCTGCAAGTCGGGATATTCTATGAATAACGTTCATTTTGGCAGCTCGATAGATTTTTCATCAATGGTGAAGATCGGAGCGTTTTTATGTGTACTCTTTACACACAAAGTACAATTTGTACTCCCGGGGCAAATTTAATTCAGTTTCGATTTCATTTTCTGTCCATCATTGATTCTTTTTAAGCTTTTTATGAGCGCACTATCAGCCAGTTTTTGAAGTTTTTAACGGAAAAATTACTTGGCACTATCTAATCGTTTTTCGTGTGAAATATTGCTGCTGCTTCAAAGTATTGCTGCTTTAATTTTAGCCTGCGAGCCAGAGTTTGAAGAAAGAAGTGGATGTTTTGAAAAAGGAGCTTGACAAGCGAGACGTCGTAATCACAAAATTGGAAAAAGAATGTGTAGGTTGAGCAGTAATTGTTCAATCGGCTGCTTCCGTGGATTAGATTTTCTACGATAAGATTTCCCAAGCGAATTTAATTAGAAAACGGAAATTTAATCTAAGCCTAATATGTGCCAGGCAAAAAATGACTCTTGGTGTTTCAATCGCTTCAATTTTAATCGGAAACAGTAACCACACGTTGATGAAATCCAGCGAATTGACATGTCTGGAATAAGTGTTTTAAGTTATTTATGTTCTACACACCTTGTAAGCTCACTCGTTTGGTATGTACATACCCTAATTGCATTTCGTGCGCAAGCATTCACAAATGCTGACAAATAGCGTTTTTTTTCTGGGAAAAGCGATCAAAAATGACCTCAAACCGACGCATTTTTACTAACAACTAGAAAGAAAAGCACGTTCGCAAACTGGAAGCTCTTCAAGTGCAGCTGCGCAGATACGAGGAGGAGACGGCAAATATGAACCGTGTGCTGGATGAACAGCGCAAGGGAATAGAGGAAAGGGATCGGCTTGTTAGACAATTACGAGATGAAAGTGTAGGCTTTATTTTTTTTCCCAAGTTGCATCAGCATCTTCCATATTAATCTCATTTTACTGTTTCAAGCTTCTTGAAATTTGAAATAAGAAGGCGGACCTTGTGAGGTAGCCAAAGCCCAAGGGCTACAGTAACTCCACACTGTAACCTAATTTAATCTAAGTGATTTTACAGTCGTCGCCCCACTATCACCAAGGTCAGGGTTGCTTAAACTTGATTAGGAGCTTTTCATTCTTAAAATATTTGGTAGATTTTAAAGGTGGACTTTATTTTCAGTGTTTCGCGAATTCTAAATATTCAAAAGCTTAGTGAATAGTTCATAGCCTATCAAATATATCTGAAGTTCAATAGAAGACAAATTGGACCACTCAACGCCTACGTAACCGAGTCAATGTTGGACTGATGCTTGCTGGTTTTGACCATTACTTCCATAAAAAAGCATTGATGAAATCGTAGCAAGGGTCATCATGCGCATAAAGTGGTGTAAAGGACAATTAATGGTAAGAAATCTTCTTCATAAATAATTAAAAGTAAATAGAAGACGAGTTTGGCCTCGATGATGGCCTTGCATGCCTGCCTAAACGTGAGCTAAGTGCGCAATTCAAATTAGGCGCTTACTGCATGTCAAGAGCAAATTAAAGTAGGCTATTGTAATAATGTGGTCGGTTTATTTCCTTTAAACTAAAAATCAGCATAATATGAAGGTTATTTACCAACAGGTGGACTTAATGGATACAACGTTTCAGATGTACACTATGAATCAAACACTTTACTGGCTCGTTATTCCTGCATATAGTTTGTTTATCTAATGAATAAACGTACTTACGGTGCCTCGAATATATTTTAGGAGTATTTCTGAAAGCATCTTGGATTGCAAACGCATCTTCATACAGTTATTTCTGGTTCGCAATATTTTTGTCCTAAGAAAGTCTTACTAACACCATCCTTGCATATTTCTTTGTAATCATTCCACTTTGTGCATCTAAGACGCGTTCGCATTCATCGGCTTCTGATCTAATAGAAGGTTCCTTGTCGGTACTTTCGAGAAAAGTTTGATTTTCAGCAAAAGAACGGTGGTGCTGCTGAATTGGAGAAGTTACAGGCGGAGCACGCGCGCTGTTCGCAGCAGATTCAGCAGAAGCAACAACAGCTCGAAACACTGATGAAGCAACTTGAACAGCAGGCTGAGGAAATTCTCACCACAAAGTAGGACATTACCTAACTTAGAAAAATAAAGTGGGGCACTTGGAATGCATGTCGTTGGTTTTACGCTTCATTTACACCTACTGTCTAGTTTCTCTACCACAGGTAGCCCATAAGCAGGTACAAATTTCATGCACCTAGTTATAAATGCCTTTTCAAATTTATTCGAAAGTTGCCTTTTGGTTTTAAATAAAATAAATAAATAAATAGGTGCAATTCTGGTGAACTCAACGATGAAACAAAGAAATCCAGGTGCGAATGGTTTGCGCAAAAAGAAACTTTTGAGAATCAAATCCCTTGGGCAATTAACTATCGCTTGAATGCGAGAAAGGCTTCGGTAATTGCGAGACAATCTATGCAAAACCTGAAGTTTATAACTGGCAGTTATCGTAAATGAAATAGATGGGTAGTTGGGTGGACGGATAGGTGAGTAGATGGATAAGCTTCTCATCGTAAACCATCATTTTGCTGCATTATCTGTTATTTATTTGTAATAATTTTGATGCAATTTAATTTCCTTAACGATGTCATGCTAATTCTGAGCTTAATGTCGTTTGAATGATTGATAGCGTCTGCTTTTTCGGGGAACCTTTCACGAAAATCTCCTGTTAACCTCAGCCATTGTAAGGCGTTGTAACGAGCCTGAAATCTCATTTCATCTGCTTTAGCATAAGGCGTACCATAAAACAAGTTAATTTTCCAATTTTCTTGTTTCACGATTTGAAAATCCTCTTCCAAATTACTACTAACTAGGCAAGTGTGTATTTTAGTAAAGGATGTTCCAGTGTTCTAAAACATGATTTTATGCCAACAAATTATTTGTTTGCGTAATAACTCGAACTGTGGTTGTAGAATCGAGGCACTGACAGCTTCACTGTGCGAGAAAGACGCCAACCTTGCGCTGATTCAAACAACTGAACTCCAAAATGTTGCCTCCAACCAGGCCGTCCAAAAACTTAACAACGAGAAAGAGACCATTCAAACACAACTACGGCAACTTGTAAGAGCCACTTGTCTATTACTTTTTCTAATCTCCCGCTTTGAATGGCAGTAATTTGAACCAGCGCTTATTGATTAAAAACTTTGCTTGATAAAATCAAATTTGAGTTGTTTGTATGTGAAAAACTGTGGTCACAGACTTAAATGTTTTTTGGGTTTATCCATCATGTAATCAATTATGTAAAATTGGCTATAGCACTTGTTTTTGTCGATAACGTAAACCACTGATGTTCGGAAAGTTTTTTATTGTTGTCGAGCATCATTAAAACTTTTTAAACTTTGGAATCATAAGAAAAGATGTTTTATTCATTGCAGACCTTGGCACGTGACGCCCTCGCAGAGCAACGAAAGACAATAGGTTAAACGGTACTTATGCATACACATTCAATCCACTGAGATTTCATTTTATACCGTGTCTCCCAAAAATGTTTTAAGGGAGAAAGAACCAGGCATTTGTGTAGTAGATATAATTTGGATTATATTTTACTTTGATTCTTGTCCTCAATAGCGTCTAGTTGTTTTGTGTCTTTTCCTTCCCCAACGACAAGTCTTCTGATATGCTACCGTTTCTTGTACACTTTTGCTCTATCAGATTTTCGAAAGCATTTTAACTATTTAAAGACGTTTATTCATATATGTTGTCCTCTTGAGGCCGTTATGTTGTGTGCAATAATGATTCATTGTTGGTTGGTCCTTGCTTTCTCAGTACCCCTATGGAAGGAGATTAATTGTAGACAATTATCTTGGAAATCCACTTTTCCCAGTCAATTAATTCGCAAACTCCTGTTTGAATCTCGTTTCTTCCAAGGACTTTGACCCCATCCGCGGTAATATGGCAGCCATAAGGATCTAAAGCAACAAAAACCACATAAATTACAAAACTCTACGTCAAATGTTGGGCAAAAGTTGGAGTACTAGGCAACTGTCTACAGAATTTTTCACTAAAATTTTTAAAATTTAACACTTTTACCAATATTTTGATAAAATTTTTGATAAAACTTGAAATAGAGTTTGAAGCAAGGGTTTTTATATCGCCTTGGCAATTACCCCTTTTAAATGACTTGCAAATTTTGTGGACTAATTTAATGTGTATCATAATCGGGAGTGACTAATCTGACAAAGCCGACTCATAACACGCAATTTAGTGTTTCTTCAGTCTAGACGAGAACCGCAAAATCCAGCTACCGTACCTGTGGCAGTCGCTTTACAGCGAGAGTCCATGTTTTTACCATGAACGAAGTCTTTAAACATTTGTTTCAGTTCACGTTTAAAATTTTGGAAACGCTTTTTGCGAGGAGTATCTCTAGATCCTGATTTTCGTGATCCAATTCTTTTTCCCGTCAAAATCATCATGTCAAGGGCATGGAAAGCAAACCGTTTAGGAGGTGGTGTGGACTTTCCCATGAATCGTGGGCCAGGGGCATAGGGCACGACGAGGTCGGATGGTTCATCGAGAAGAACCTTGTAAAAGATGCCCTTCGAAGCATTAAGCTTTGATACAATCCACGACTGAGGGCAGGAAAAACGAAGCAGACTCAGCAATTCTAGGTGGAACTCCTGTCTGCTTCGACGAATTGCTTTAGACCTCGTATGTGAGAGCTCCTTCCTCCATGCCACACCTAGTAGATGTTTTAAGCCCTGGAGGCTATATGATGATGGTCGTTTAAAGCGATACAACATTTCCGCGAACTGTTCTATCTGTTCGTCATCTGCCTGATTCATCCAAGGGTCATCCATATCTGGCCAACCTTCCAATTCATTTGACATGGACGAAAAAACCAGGCGTACTGGTTTTTCATCTGAATCGAAAAATCTATTTATCACTACCTTGGTGGTTTTGAAATGTTTCGCAATGGGTGTTCTTCCCTCCGCACTTGTTTCATTGATTATTAGAATTTGTATAATTCGTTCTAACAAAGAACAGGGGTAAAGCTCTAAACTTGGCTTTAATCTTGGCCTTCTTATTAGCTTGGACTGACTACCGTTATTTTGTTCTTAATGGACAGATTTTGATTTCTATTTTAATGAGCTTTAAGATGAGGATTTTTCAAAATCATGAATAGTTATTGCGATGGAATAATAGATGAACTTTGATTGATGCACTTCTGTTTTTCAGTAAAGAATATGTAAATCACAAGAGGAATTAGAATGCTCTAAAACTTGTAATGTTATTTAGGCTACTAAAGAATGCGGCTAAACTATTTTATGATGTATTCTCTTCGTTCAGACCATACAAGAAATAGTCTATTCATTAAATGTATTCAATCCTGGAGAGATAATTGATCAACTACCTTTGTGTAATAGTGATTTTAGATTAGAATAAGCAAATGTAAATGAGGAAATTAATAAAACTTTAGGTTATGTCACATTGTATGTCATACCAAGATCCAAAATTCGTTTGATTTCCTCTGGCGTCCAATATCTTGGAGGTGGAATGGCACCTGAACCGGATTCAGCGGAAATCCAACTTAACCCGCCACTTTCATTATTGCTTCCCACTAATCCACCAATCATATTTCCATCATCTAAAAGACCTGAAAGTAATGAGTTGAAAACCGCTATTGGAACATTTGCCAGCTTTTTTCTCAGTTCTCCCAGGGGACATGATTTGGAAACAGTTCCTGGTATTCCAGTGATGCAATGTGTACCAATATAGTGGCTAACGATATCAGTAAAAGCTCGCTCCACCATGCTCCTGTTAACATCGTTGTCACGGTTGCTCTTCCAGTGAACAGCTCCGCTGGTAAGCCAGGCCTGGTGGAATAACTCTTCCTTCTTCGCTTTCATATAAAGCAAAGCCAGTGTACTTGTGGCTCCGGAACCCCATCCTAAAACTGTTATGCGTTTGGGATCTCCACCAAATTGTTTCACATGTTGTTTTATCCACCGAAGGCCCATCAACTGGTCGTGTAGAGCAAAGTTTTCAATTGAAAGTTGATACTTTGTTGTGTCACTTGCATTGGGAGCTGTGAGATTGTAGAAGAAACCCGCAAGACCCAGGCGATAGTGCAGATACACCCAGACCGCGTCAGTGTCACGAACCGCTTCATCAGTAGGCCAGAAGGCAACATATTGGTGATGTGGTGGCATCAGAGGCTCTGTAAAAAACTGGAATCCAGCAATCAGTACAATCACTGGCTTAAGAACTCCGCCATAAAGCGGCGTGGTTATATCGACCTGTAGACACCGCTCCTGCTGAAAGAGAGCATAAGAATTGTTCAAATCCACTTGTCTTCCTGGAATGGGTTGACTGCACGTACCAACAGGACGTGCTCTGCCCAAATTGCACGTCCATCGACTGCGTTGAAAGCTACATCGATCATGTTGGGCCAAAATACAGCCTTCAATGCCCTCTATCTCCCGGGGCATTTGCCATCGTAAAACTGGCATTCCATCTTCTACCTGCAGATATTGTCGCAACACATCCAATGTCTGTTCGTCTGGTTTTGCTAGAGGTGGGATAGAATACGGAACGCCAAAAAATCGAAGCACCGTATAATCAGAATTCCAGGAGCCTACAAGAGTAGCGCAGTCAGTGGATGCATTCGGTGGAGGCTTGGGAAAATCAGAAAGTAGGATATAGGCTACTATAAAGTGAATAATGACACCTAGTAAAGAAAATGCGATGAGATAGAGCAAAATTTTGTCCAATGGTCGGTGGCACACCACGACAATTCCTGGAGGCTCCACGTGAGGACGACCATATTGGAAAAATTCTTCGGGATCTAGGCGCTTGCGATATTCAATCACTCTAACTCTGCTACAGGCCATGTCGATTTCGATCGATTTGTCTGCCGCTTTTATGGCTTTTTTGGTCTATATTTATGGATAATCCGATAAATCAGCGGGAAAATTAAATTACATTTAAATGGATAAATTAGCATGCTTCTGAGGTGATTCACTAAGAAAGGGAAAGATTAAACCCTTAATACACGTAATAGCCTTTATTTCTTGTAAGCTTGCACATGAATTATTTTAACTACAAGTTAGTGTTTAAGAATGCAATGTATTTTCATGTAGGACGTTTTAATGATATGTACGAATTGGATTTCATGGAGTTTTGAAGCATTCCAAATAAAAAACAGACAAGTAGGCATTAATAATAGATATACTGAAGAGGGTTATTTCAAGATCACAATTATTCGGGGTAAGGGAAAATGAATTTAAATTATGAAGAGTTGATTTGAACATTTATTGTTTGATTTGTATCTACCTTAGTCGGTTTTGTTATTGCTTTTACCAAAAACAGCTTAACTTACCCGACTTTAAGTATTAGAGTTTTAAACAGACTATAAAAGAAGTATAATTGCGTCTTATTTTCAGAAATAACACGCCGAGTTCTGATCTTCTTCAGTTACGCAACGGAACGTTGGTAGTTAATGGGTTTGTTGCAACCAATTCATTGACCACATTCGATACTGGAGTTCCAAACTGGTCTGCTTTCGGATAGGTATGGAAATGAGCTACCGTCAGCGTGGAAATTAGGCACAAAATAAAGAGGATTAGAAATGACACATGTGTCGAACGATCCCTTTAGACTTCATTGAATTAAACGTCGTGCGCAGATGACTCACCGCGTATGAGTTGTATAATATTTTATTACCAAGACTAATCACCAAAACAAGCTCATTATCCCCTATTTTATCACGTCGAGTCCCAAAGTGTCAACACACCCGCTCAGCTTGTGAGCTCACACGCAAGTGTGGCTCAAGTGAGAGTGTATCAAAAGGCGAGATCCATATCTTCAAGTCCATCGGTTCTTTTCAATAATGGAAGAGGAGACAACTTTCCCAATCTGATTTACATTGATGGTTAAAACGTAAAGCAGTAAAGTAAACCTTTAAATACATGATTTTTATCACAGGGAAATAATAACATAAAGACTCTGAATTCACGGAATTCACCTGAAACAGTACCCGTTGAAGACGCTATTATCATAAATATGTCTGGCGTCATAATCAAACGCTAGTTCTTTTTCAAAATATGATAAAAATAGGTAACTTTTTACAGATTTCGATCTCCAAAGCTAGAATCTTGCTTTCTAACAATAATGTATCATACGCGCCATAGTTAATGATCGGAAGTTAATAGTCCACAAAACCACCATGCTTCTGAAAATGATAAGGCACTAATAACTTAGATTTTAGGGTAGCTTTTCATTCAAAATGATATACCTCAGTGTTGGTTGGTCTGCTATTTCAGACATGAAAGGGCTTTGCTAGTCATACCGTCTCTCCCCTTCAGGAGGGGTTAGAGGGCTGGGAGTTTATGGAGGTGCGTTTGCGTGCTGACAATTATCATAGCTGCGGGTTTTGCGTTTGGTCGGGCAAATCGAGCGAACCATTGGCCCTGCTCAAGTGAGCCAACCACTAGTAACCTCGGATGAGATTGCAGCTAAAACGAAAATGGCGGCACTGCAAACTTGCAAGCAGATCAAATAGGAACACGCAAATGGTACGTGTGAACTTTGACATGCCTTCCTCCTAAAAAACCAATCTCTTTGTAAGTGATAAGGTGGAGCATGTTTAGTGGGAAATCACGATATTTCCCATACATAGTAGGAATACAATGAATATGAACTGTCTAAGATATATCATGGTAGAGTTTTCTTAGACAATGATTATTTTCGAAAGAGTAGATTCAGTCACAAGTATTAGTAGCTAATTGGTGTTTTTTCAATTAATGAACGAATTTTTTTGATTTTCAATTTGCTTTTGTTCTTAATACTTCAATAGAACCTTGCTTCATCAAATCTCCTTAGCATACCTATTTGTGTCTGCTTATACATAGTTTGTTTTTAAAAAAACTATCCCAATTACTTCCGGGTAAAATGAGTTCTCCAAAACAGTCACCTTATCATTATAATAAAGCAAAGCGCTAAAATACTGGTATTTTATAGAAAATCTTGATAAAATATTTTTCAAAATGTGTGGCTGTTGCGTAAATACATAACATTTTTATTTTTGTTATTACCTTTACTTAACTGTCAAAACTAACTCATGTTTTTGAAATTTTATGTAACAAAATATGGCCTATTTTTTATGGTCCGTGTTTCCCTTACGTATTTCAGCAGAGAGTTCTGTACTTTACGCCTAGATTCCTAAAGCCGAATTGCATTAGCTAGTAGTTTTACGCCATACGAAATGTTGATTCTTCATTGTCTAGTGAGGATTATGCTACTGAGCGAATGAAAGTAAACATTTTAGGTAATGTTTTAATAAAGGGCAGATCCACCACGGTGAGCATTATCGCTGGGATCTAATAAAACGAAAACGAGTGATAAGTTCTGGTATGTGTTTTTCTTCCTAAGCGATGGATACAGTGTCTGCATTGAATTCAAGTAATTCAACATCGGCCAAATTCGATACCAGCTTCGCGTGGTTCCTCGCCTTCATGCTCGTGACAGTCTTCCTCCTCTTCGTCCTCCTAACTGTGATTTGCATCCTCGCCTACTTTGTCTACCGACTGCGCCGACAATCGGCATGTCTTCCATCTGGTCTTGATGCCGATGGGGACGTAATCTACGGCTTCTCCAACAAACATGCTGAGTTCATAGAATGCCGGAGCAGTGTCCCAGCCAGTAATGCCTCACTCACAGATCCCTGGAACACACGCTTGGGAAGGAGTGTGGAGTACTGCGACTGCCACCTCTTGCACAGAGAAGAGTTTGAGCGCCGACGAGATAACCTTTTGAGACGAGGAGTTCAATTTCACACTTATCCCAAGGTCGGAGTTCCTGTGACGCACAATGGATGGATGCAAAGGGTGCTCTCGCAACCAGGTACTCTGCATTTTCACCAAAGTCGGGTCTTCTCAATGCACGAGGAGCAGAGAAGACCCAGAGTTCCGAGGAATAAAATGGTGGAGCGACTACTTATGGAGGCAGTTCAACAAGAAGTGAATCTCACATGGCCTAAGTAGTTCATGAACACTTCATTGCTATTAGACTTGTTAATAAATATGTTCATTATCGTGTTAATGGTAAAGTTGGGTATTGGTCAGTTTTCAATATGTGCCTAATGTTCAGCACAAAGGAGCAATTTATGCGTTTTGCATAGATGTTTGCAATGTTTGTTAAAATGCGCTTTCTAGCAAGTAAAATTTGGACATTTGTCTTATTGACCCATTTTAGGCTCCAGCGCTCTTTCTTGCAGTTATAATTACATCATTAATATTCACTTCTAATCCTTTGCCTGCAAATATGTCAAGGATTCGATACACTAGATGTGTCTAACTTTATTCTTCTACTGATAAAACCCAAGTAGTTCAAAAATTTGATTGTGTAAATTGACATATTTCTTTAAGGGACATAAAAATAGCAGTCAGCCGAATGACTGTGGTTATGAAATGTAGTTACAGTAGGACAGCTGAAAAGTCTGCAGTGTAGAAGTAGCGTATTTTTTTAGTAAGTTCTTTAGTCGAAAACGAATGCACCACATTCTTAAAGTAAGCATTTATCATTTTCAAATAAAGTGTTGAAAGCAAAAAGCGGAATCATTCATGAATATGCGGACATCCATATGTGTATGATCCAGTAAAATTACAAGCGCACAAGTTGGAATGCACACAATCGGGCATTGTTGGGTCGAATCCGGGATATTCAAACACTATTCCTATGTTAGTGAGAGCAGTAGGAAACATATGACCTTCGATTTCCCGCGTAAAACGTGGAATAGAATAATTAGCAGCTGGATTGCCTATTAATTTCATTTCCAGAAATAGTCCTGAATAAATTATATTAGCGTACTAAAGCAGACGCACCTGCTGTATTTCGTGGGGGCAATCTTACTGACCTATTTGGTTCTAATGGACCCAGATTAAGTAGATTACGAATTGATGAAGTGATTACCTAATATCGGATCATTTTAAATCAGGGGTACTTTTATATCCTTGAATTTTTGAATGCCCATTTTGGGTAATGTAGAGGCATCTACTAAAATTAGCCTTTTACCATCAATATGATTTTTCGTGAAACATTCCTAGCCTTCACTTTGCTTTAATTAAGAAGATTACCCTGTAATATGAATATCCCAGACCTTTGATCCACCCAGCTACTCTTTCTTCACTCCAGTAATACGCTTCAGGTATTTCTCCCAGCATGTTTCAAAAATGGTTGAGATATGGCATCCTAACGACTGTGTAGCTAAAATGACAGTTGACTTAGCCAAACAAAATTGCCAAGGTTGAAGGAAGGACAGAATTAAAATAGGTATTTGTGTAATATTAAGATTTTCACTTCAGCCTATTTTGTTGTTGCTGTATTCATAATTTAAATGAAATGGTTTTTAAATTTATGCTGTATGTAAAATTTTTTTCAAAAAATATTCATAAGACATGTTTTAACATTCTCTACCTTATTTGTAAGAATGTGTGTAAGCTAATGATGTGGCATTTTTGGGAATTCAGTCAATTGCGATACGTTTTTACTTTTCATTCAATGCAAAATGATCACTTTAGCGTCGAAAATATTAAAATTTCCTCAAACATTTTCCCCGTCCCCAATCTCTCATTTTTACTAACAACCGTGTAATACGATAGTGGTTTATCCCTCGATTCCGGTGAAGCGCCACTTTTGTACTTTGAATTAGCCCCCTTGTACCTCGCTGGGTGGGCTGGCCTTTTAGGCCAAGCCAATAGCCCAGGCACCTTCTCTGCGCTGAATATATATTCTGCCCCAGTATTGTGTCTTCTTTCGTCTTCAGGGAGTCTCAGGACGCTACAACCGTATATAATAAGTTGATCTCCAATGTCCATCTTGCTTTCTGGTAAATTGTATTTGCCTTCTCCTTTGACTGCCGCAGTTCTAGTAACACCAATACCATTGATACGAACCTGTCGTTTTCAAAAAATATTGGAAATAGTGCTGTAAAATTCGGTTCTTACTACCAGTGGTCACTTTTATGAAACGGATGCATGCGAATCTCTGTAATAGAGTGTGCGCTATGTACAAGACAACTTCCTGCTGTGTAACTGTAGGACGGGGCTCGTAGATTCCCTCCTCCCTGGCCCTCATACTCTAAGAACAACCGGGCCCATCTGGTTTTGTCGCATTTATTGCGTAAAGTAAATGGGGGAGTGAGTACAAGTTTAGGAAGGTTTGGGCACTGAACTTTTCTCCAGGTTGTGGTATGTTAACTACTCCTCAGTCACAAGGTTCAATTCACCTGCCCGATTCCTCTTTGGAAGGAACATTTTTAAACAACGCAAGTATTACGTAAAGTCTGTTTATCAATCAAGCAAGCAGTATATATCAAACTCAAGTTCACATTGACTTTTCGATCATATTTCTTTTGTCAAATAACTTATTATTCACACGCAGAAATGTTATTCATATTCGGGGAAGAATACGTGTTCGATTTGCTATGGCTAATCGTCTGTTTTCCCATCCACATTATCATAGCCACAGCTGCCTTATGAAAAAGTCTGGATTAAAATGACATTCTAAGATGAATTTCTATCTCCGATAAATATAGATAGTAGGATCTGCGTCTTTGGTATATTGAATGCTTCATGTTTAATTTTATTTTTGTCCTTGTGTTAATATGAACAGGCAATAATAGAGAAATCATCTCCGAATTTCGGGGCTTTAATCGTTTTATGATCAGGCAAGAAACCCACATATGAATAGCTAAAAAACTAGTTTAGCTGAATATGTCATCATATTGAGAGTATTTCATCCGCCTTGCCTAATAAAATTCACTGTCGGGCATTTTGACTGAATGACGGTGTTTACTCCTACCTGTGTATTAATGCCTTTCCCGATAAAGGTCGTCCAGCGATCGCATAAATAACCTCTTTGTAGCACAAATTGGTGGAATTTTTGGAGGAGCGGCTGTGCTATCTGCGCCTGTGGCTATGACGTTTACACTTAATCTTTCCGCCTTAAAGGAGATAAATAGTTAAGCAAAAGGAGGGCTACAAGCCTGTAAATGCACTGACACTTAAATTGGCACAACCTCTGCATGAAAGTTGGTCTTATTCTTTATTTGCGATTAATTGAAATGAAAAAAATATATTTGACGTTATTGCTTGAAACGTGGAATAACTTCAAACCTCTGCACACCTTGTAAAAAAACAATAGTTTACTAAACCTGGGATTGTAGGTTAGCGACAGAAATTGCGTGTTTAAAGTGTAATCACACTGACAGTGAGACGCGCCTCAGGTCAGGCCTAAAGCTACACGTTTAGACATGTTTTCAAAGGGGAAAAATCTATCAAAAGTGACCCCCTGGCTTAAGGTGCGAATGAAGCGCTTCTGTAGGGTGACCGCTTGGCATATAAGTAACTGCTCAGTCTCCTCACTAGATATCATACTGCAACGGGAAAATTGATGGAAAGAAAAAGCAAAAGTTGATATCTAGTTTGCGAACCCGACTGATATTTTTATTGCTAAACTCAATGAAAGACAGCACTTGATTGCCTGATTTCAATCCAATACACAGGTAAACAAGAATTTGCCATGTTGGCACGACTAATTTTTTCCATTTACGGGTTGTATGCAAGTCGCAAACTCCAATGCTCACAGAAAGAAAGAAGGAATCGATCCGGACTCAGTAATTTTGTCATTAATAATTTGGGCTTATTTGTATTTCGGACAATGTAAAAAGAAAAGGAAAGTATGTTTTTGGAAGCTTCCTGATAAATGGTCTTGAAATTTTCTCATTTTACTTGTACCGTAAAACTGTAGTGATAGAGCATTTACAATATCTTAAAAACGACAAAAAGTGTTTGGATGTGAGTGATTATAAGGTGATTAGTGTAATAGACTCGGTATCTCTTTTTCACCTCTGTCTCCATAAGCATGGACGCGGAAGTGCTATTTGGAGTAGCGACAAATAAAGGGGTACAGATGTCACGGTTTGTGTTCATAGTATGTTCCCTCTTCTTTCTCCTCCTCCTCCTTGAGGGCCGATGGCTTTCGATTCGTCACAAGTTTCGTATGCACTGACCGCCTCTCGTCTAAAGGGTACATCGAAAGAAATGTAATAGCACTACCATTAACAAATTCGTAAGGCTTGTGAGTGAATTTGTTCTCAATGTTGGTTACGGGACTTGGATCAAATATATGAGCCAAATAAATCGTTTATGATTAATTTTACTCCCTAATTTTGTGGTTCATTATTGCTAGTAATAAAAAACGACGATCCGTATTCCATGCGATTTAACAAATCGAGTCAGAAACTTTGCCAAATTGTGTAATTGCCTTACCAATTGCATTCATAAAATACTTTTTTAAAATCCAAACAAGCTGACGGATTATTATTATCGTTTAAACTGAAGCCTTTCTGTAAAGTGAGGTTCACTGATGCCACAGTCGCGGTGTACAAATACTGTAACAAAAGATGAGGCTTTATCACAACCAGTGAATTGCAATGTCACCCTCCTTAGCAGCGCTACCCTTGCAAGCTGGCCAAATGACCTTACACGATGCCCGAAGATAAACAAGCGAGGTTCAGTTAGAGATTTCGAAAAAAACCTGGGTGGCCGCTACCAGTACTTTTTATGAACCTACAAACATGCTCAATCCTGTTGACTGTCAAATTAAAAGAATATAATTTTATAGGCGTGGTGACGCACCCTAAATAAATAAAATAAACTCTAGCAACTGACAGACATGAGACACCTTTGTCAAATATTAGTCCCAAATCTAGTGATGAAATATACTGCTGTCACTTTCATTCCTCATCGTAAATGGGTATAATTTTGCTTGACACGATCTTAAAGTAAGTCTGGTTAGGATCCCGCATTTTACGAATGGAGAGGCAAAACTTGCTAGCTCATTTGTCCCCAGGTACCTAATTAATGAGTTGTTTGAAACTACACACATAACCTTATGGATACAAGCTTTGTACAATGGATGCTACTTTGGAATGCAGTAGCAGATGGGATTGTTCCACAATTTTCCTTATCGATCTAAATACATTATGCATCACTTTGGTAAAATTTTGAAATACTTTTGAAACTTATCAAAAGAATAATTCAGTTTGATGTAAGCAATGTATAATGCTCTTGCGTCACCAGTTGGTTGTTATTTCACAAAGACGCCGATTATGCATTCGGCGATGTGGATTCTTTGTCAATGCAACGACATTTACTACCGTTTGGCAATTGTATAGCTGCCCTAGAAGTGGCAATTATTTACAGTACCTTTATAGAAACAATGGAGGGGTGGTGTTGAATATTAAATCAAAAACAGTATTATTAAAACACGTAAAAGCCCACAATTCCAAAGAATAAATTTAGCCATATTATAGCTCCTCGAGACTTCCCTGAAAACGAAAGAATATGTAGAATATGCATTGTCGACATGCAGAAGGGATTGGACTACTGGAATGAGCCGGTGGCCAGGCAGCCCAGCCTAGGTACGGTGGCAGAGCCATTAAGTGGCCCGTTACTGAAACCTAGTTAGACAAACAGTTAACGGATTGCATATATTTTATGCAGAATTCTCAGAAAATACATTTTAGTACGAAAAATGCCCTTTAATAGAAACAGGATTTGACAGTTTAGTCTACTAGCTGACTAAGAAAATGTGTTCCTACACTTGTGACAGATATTTAGAAGGTAAGCTTATTTACTCGTTACTTATTTCGTTCATGATGAGGTGTTGCGTGTAAAACAGTTATATTTGCCAAGATCTTTTACTTTGCTCTTGCAGAACCCCGGTTAGTCTCCGCGCTATCCATGTTTAAAATCCTGATCTCTCTCGGGGTTCGGGGCACTCCAATGGCGCAACACTAGGCTAATCCTATACCACTGAGCAAATGGGAGCCTTTGAAGTGCGAAATCGGGGAGAGGTTAATTGTGAAAGAAAAAAAGCCGAAATTCCGTGTAGGAATTCCGTTATTTCTTCTTTTGCTGGAGATCTCCGAAGCATGCATCAATAGGATTGTTCATTAGTAAAGGTTAAAGTACACCAACCAGTACAAGTCATAGGACTGTGATTACGACATCATGGTCACCTGCTCCAAATACATTTTGTTTTATAATTTTCCTTCTTTGACAAATGACCACGAATTGTAGTCTATAACTGCAATATTTGCGAGTGTAGTGTATAATGTCGCGGCCTCGGCCATAAATAATCAACATGTTATTATTGGTCAGCATCAACATTCCTCCAATAGTTTACCTTAGTTTGCGGTGGAGAAACGTCTTGCTCTTGGTCCATTAGACAAGACCACACTCAGAAAACTGTATTGACTATCCCCTTTCCAATTATTTAGCATTATGAGGTTTGCTTTAAGTTTTGCGTTTCGTCGTCGGTGTATCTTGGTGATTGAAGGATGGTGATTTATCAAGCCTCTGGACAGTAGCCAGCCCAAGTTTTAACCCAATGAAGTAAAAATAGACACTAGCTAGCGCTCAACCCGGTGGAACCGATGCAAGCTAGCTAAACGTGAATGCGCTTTCGCAAAAAAGGCTCACCAACTGCGAGACACATTACATGCTCCAATCACCACCACTCGTTTGCCGATTTCAGGCAACAGATTCTAACACATCCCTCGCCCTATAAAAAAGTATAATAGGTAAAACAAATGCCAGGCGTTTCCTCGTGAAACTCATCAGTTTGATTTCTCTCCTAGATATTAAGGTAACTTTAACCTGGAAAAATGTAACTAAATCAATTTTGCATTAAAAATGGATACTGTGGGATATTTCTAGTCATGATATTGTTCCTTAAACCGTGATACTGGCCACCTACTTTAATTATACTCACTTTCAAGCAATTTTTTGTTCAGT